TTATAAATTATCAAGGGTTCATGAGGGAGGGGGCAGAGGGGAAAGAGGGGGGAAACGAGAAGCTGATATTAAGGGCTCAAGTAGAAAGCAAATGTTTTGCGAATGATGATGGCAACAAATGTACAAATGTGCTTGACACATGCATGTATGTATCCATTGGATGTATGTGATAAGAGCTGTATGTTGTGATAAGAGTTGTATGAGCCCCTAATAAAACGATTAAAAAAAGAAAAAAAAATGCCATGGTTTGAGCAAGGTGCACCTTAGTGTCCTCAAAGTGACATCTTCTTCAATATTTTAAAGGCGTGCAGCAGAGTTACCCGATGTACTGTAGCATTTGATTTCTTGTCTGCTGCTTCTCTGAACTTTGATTGTGAATCCAAGTAAAAGGAAATCCTTGACAATTTCAAAGGTCATTTATCACAACAGTTTATCATGTTATCTATTGGTCTGATTGTGATAATTTGATTTTTTTTTTTACATTGAGTTGAAATCTGTACTAGAGCCTGTAGTCATTGATCTTCCTCAATAATGTTTTAAATCTTGGTTTTTAGCAAGCAAGGTTGTGTCATCTGCACATCACAGATTTGTTAATGATCCTTTCTCCAGTTCTTATGCTGACTGGTTCTTCCAGTAGACCAGCTTCTTGGACTGCTTGTTCAGCATGCAGATTGAGTAAGTGTGGTGAAAGGATACAACCCCGACACACAACCTATATTATATTAAACCACTCAGCATTCTCTTTTTCTGTGTGAACAACTGCCTCTAAGTTCATGTGCAGGTTCCTCAAGAACACAATGAAGTGCTCTGGAATTCCCATTCTTTATAGTTTGTCGTGATCTACACAGTCGGATGTCTTTTTTTTTCTTTTCTGGATGTCTTTTCATAGTCAATAAAATACGAACATCTTTCTGGTATTTTCTGTTTTTTGCCAAGGCCAATCTGTTGCCAGCGATGATAATCCTTTGTTTCCACCTTCTTTTCTGAATCTGGCTTGCATTTTTGGCAGCTCCTTGTTGATATAGTGCTGCAACCAGTTTTCAATTACCTCCAGCAAAATTTTACTTGCAAGTGATATTAACTGTAATTGTATTAATAATATTTAATACTTTTACATCACTTTTTTTTTTTTTTGCAATGGGCACAAATAAGGATCTCTTTCAGTCAGACTGCTAACCACAAGGTCGTTTAAAACTACCATCTACTCCTTGGGAGAAAGATGACGCTTTCCCTTGCCCTAGAGCTAACAGTCTCCGAAACCCATAGGGGCAGTTCTACTCTGTCTTTCAGGATTGCTATGAGTTTGAATTGACTCATATCATTGGCAGTGAATTTGGTTATTTGAAGTTTTGGTCAGTTTGCCATGTAACTGTCCTACAAGTTTATTGGAATTGACTAAACAAGGGTCTTCAGCATTGTTTTAGCTTGTTGAACCATTTCAATTGGTATTCTTACAGTTCCTAAAACCTTGTTTTCATTGATGTCTTCAGTGCAGCTTAGATTTCTTCCTGTAATGCCATTGGTTCTTGATCTTATGTTACCTCTTGAAATAGTTGCACATCATCCAATTCTTGTTGGTACAGTAACATTGTATTATCCCATCCTTTGATGTTTTCTGTGTCATTCAGAAATTTGCCATTAACTAACTCACTCACTGCCGTTTAGTTTCTCCTGACTCATTGAGACTCTGTAGTATAATCTCTCAACATTACAAGTAGAGCCTTGACATTTTCTTCAGTTTGCTGATCATCAGCATCTTCTTTTTTAACTCCAAGTCTCTGCCCATTTCCCTATAATACTTTACTTTGACTTTTCCACACACCCTTTGAAATTTTCTGTTCAGCTCTTCGTTTTTTTCATTTACTTTAGGGACTCAACTTCAAGAGACAATTGAACTCCCTTCATTTAATAATTAAGCTATTGTAGAGGCAGTGTAACAGTGGGGTGCCTAAGAGCAGGTTAGGTGTTTCTTGTTGGGCTGCCTGGGTTGGAATCGTAACTCTGTCGACTAAATATAATCTGGCAGGTACGCCTGGCCATTAGGATATTTGGGGTCTTTAGTATAGGAACCATCTAATCAGAAAAATTGCCATTTATGAATGGAGCAGGTCCTGAATGCTCCTTATTATGTCTGAGAAGGCTATGGTGTGGGCATGGAGAGGTTTTGTGCAGGAGTTACTTAACAGCCACAGTTAAAGTGCTTTCATATTTTAACAAAAGACATCTGGTCAAGTGCATACTAACTCTCAGCCCTGTGTATGTTAGACAAGGATAAGAGATGATATTCTGAAATAAGATATCTGTGTGGGGCTGAAAATGACTTTATAACATTATGTATCACTCACTTGCATAGCCCCCCATCCCATCCGACAGTTATGTTCCCTGCTTTCTCCTGGCGTCCGTCCTTCTTGTTTCATTCACCTTGTCTTTCTCTTGTCTATAGCATCCTGTCTAATATTACTTGACAGCCATCTTTATTTAAAAGGTTAAAAGACCCATTGATGTCACACAATTTCTCATTACTCATTTATTCAGAAGCAGGGTTTATCAATGGCATCTTTGGAAAATAAAGAATAAAAACAATTTTAATTCTGCTGAAGGTGCTTTGTGGTGTTTAGATAGTTTGACAAAGAATTTACAGTGTGCCTATTCATTTCCCAATACTAGCTTTTTTGTTGTAATATTTTTTGGGGGGGTATTTTTCTATAATTAACTTAAATGTGTGAATATCTTTTTAAATTCTAGAAAATTCTTCTCCAAATGATGTAATTTAGACTAAATACCAATAATCTTTGGAATTAGTTACTTAACATTATTGTTGTTATATTGATGCATTTACTAATTTGTGAGATTATCTATGCTTTTGAAGTTTTAGTGTATTTCAAGTGATAAATGATAATCTGAAGTTTGATTTTAATTCCTTATGGGTTTCTGCTCCCACAAAGATTCACAGTCTTGGAAACTCACAGGTACAGGTCTACCCTGTACTATCGGGTTGCTTTAAGTTGGAACTGACTGAATAACCCAGTGGAGTTGGTTTAGGTTTGATTGCTAGTCTCACTCCATGGTTCCGTCTTTTATTGTACTCCTTCCTTAGGGAAAGGCTAATCGTTTAATTTCAGAAAGTTTGTAAAAGATAATAAGAAAGAGACCACATAAGTAGTATTCTAAAAAGTTAGGTTAGTGGTTTTATTGTCATCAATACATAACATTCTTTTTTAAAACAGTTATATTGGCACTTAGTTCACATATAGTACAATTCAATTTTATCAGAAAGAGTTGTACAACCATCACCACAATCAATTCTAGAGCATTTCCTTCTTCCTTGTATTCATTGTTATTTGTGTAATTTTTTAAAATTTCAGCAAAAATCTACCCAACAAAACATTCTCGATTCAGCGTCTACATGTATAATTCACTGCCATTGACTGTGCTCTTTGTGTTGTGCAACCATTTTTGATATTATTTTCTAAATTATTCTGCCACCATTAGCATAAACTCAGTGCCCCCCTAATCAAGAACCCTTCCTTATTTACCCATGGTAACCATTAGTCACGTTTGGTTTCTTTAAAAAAATTAATAAATAAAGCTCTTCATTCCAAAACAAGACCAGACTCAACTGTTTCCAATTGCGACTCAGTAGCACAACCTGGTAGGACAGAGTAGAACTGCCCCTGTGGATCTCCAGACTATACGACTTTATGGGAGGAGAACACCTCGTCTTTCTCGGGAACAGCAGTTGAGGATTCAAATGGCTGACTTTATATCGTTAGCAGCCCAACATGGAGTTCTTCATTAGACTTGTACATTTACATGCGAGCTACCTTGAAGTTGTTCAAACCCTAGTATATTCATGGTTGTGATTTTAGTCTTTTAAAAAATCAGAGGAAGTTCTAGATACTTCCTTTAGATAGTTTTAATTATACTAGTAAAAATAATAAACCATGAACATTTTTGTGCAGGTTTTGACTGAATCATCTCGTCAAAGTTATTCGCCTTCTGAATATCAGGATTTCAGTAAGTGGGAATCAGTGCTGAAAATCAAAGAAGGACTGCTAAGGCAGAAAGAAATTGTAATTGATCGGTGAGTGGATTTATTTTATTTACTAAATACTTCCAGAAATTCAGGTTCATTGTAAGATAGAGAACTCTGTTACTTGTAGATAGTATCGTTTGACAAAACAATCTCAGGGTCATTCTCGACTATCTAAGAGAATCCATAGAGGAAGATGAGAATTCAGAAATTAATATAACACCAAGAGGAGCCGGTTCAAAATGAAATAGAAAAAAGCAGTGAAAGTTAAAAAGAATCTAGGAGTAAGCCTATAAAGAGGGGTGTAGATTTTTATCCCCTGAAAAAAAAAAAGTAAAACATTGCAGACTAAATGTTGATTATAGATCTAAATCTTGACACGCGCCCGCCCGCCCGTGGATGTGTATTAGAAACCACAACAGCATAAATTTGATTTTTTAATAAATTTATTTATAAATTCATTACATTGTCAAGTTCATCCTAAATTTTATAATAAAGGCTCTGAATAACCAAGTGAGTTTTCAGGAAAAACAAGGCCTATAAGAATTTGTTTTACTAAATGTGAGAATCGGCCATAGAGCCACTTCAGTCAGATGAATGACTTTGAAATTAAAGTGAAAATCTTGCTCATAACTTACTTTCAGCCACTCATTTAATTTATGATAATAGGAGGGCGTGCCCCCCAAATGGTTCCCCCCCACCAAAGCTATATGTTTAATTTTTTTTTTTTACCAAACAACCTTATCAAATAATACTCTCTTCATTACACTTCATACTCTCCGTTACTCAATATATTTGTCAAATCTGCAATTCTGTTCTTGGAAACATTTTTCAAGCTCATCAGTTTGGCTGACTGACAGCACCTCCCCCGGTTTTTCACCTCTTCTAAGTCATCAAATCACTGTCTTTCATGTCCCTCTGCATTTGTGGAAACAAACAGAAGTCGCAAGGAGTGAGGTCATGGGAGTAAGGTGTGTGGGGCATGAGTGGCATGCTGATTTTTGCCAAAAACTGGAGCACTGAGATGGCTGCTTGAGCAGGTGCGTTGTCATGGTGGCAAAACCAATCCTCCGTCTGCCTCAAATCGGACCTTTTTTGTTGCACACTGTTATGCAATCTTTTCAGAACCTCTAAATAGAAAGCTTGACTAACAGTCTGACCTGGTGGAACGAATTCCAATTGTATTATAAGTCAACATTTTTGTCTGTTCGGGAAGTTGATGGACGTCCAGAAGGAAACGTCATCAATTGACATTTCACCATTTTTGAAATGAGAAAATGACTCGTACACTTGTTGTGTTCAATATCACAAGTTTCTGTGGCATTTTTCCTGAGCAGGAAACAAAATTTTACAGTTGCACGGCGCTCTCTTAAATTGACCATCACAAAAAAATGAGGTTCAAGAGAAAATGGCTTTCATGAAAAAATTCACTGACCAGAAAGAACCTTCCAGGCGACGCCACTGGGTGCACTAACTCAGAGCAAGCTGCTCCATACTCGCCTCGTAGGGGAATGTCCAGTGATCTGCCCAGCAGAGCTCTTTTCTTTTTATTTCTTTTGCGGGGTGTGTACCCTCTTGTATATATCCTCGTATATATTTGGAAATTGTTATATGTAAGAGTTATTTATACATTTGGAAATTGTTATATGTAAGAGTTATTTATACATGTATTCTCTCTCCAAAAATTTAGTAACAATATCATAATAAAATTATGAATGAGAGAGAGCCTTCAAGGGATAATAAGGACAAGTGAAGGTACTGTATATGCTTGAGTGTAAGCGGAGTTTTTCCAGCACATTTTTAATGCAGTTTCTGTGGTAAAATTAGGTGCCTTGGCTGATAATTCGGGTCAGCTTATACTGCAGTATATAGGTAAACAAATATGTTAGTATTTCTAAAATTTTTTTATCAAGTAATGTTATATGCTGCACACTACACAGAGTTCTGCCCAGATTCACTTTTACTTTAAAGCAAAAACAATGAAAAGAAATGACTGGAGCAAAATAAACTTGCTGACATGAAGTCGATTCCAACTCACAGTGACCATGAGGGTTTTTAAGATTGTGACTCTTTACATGAGTAGAAAGCCTCATCTTTCTCTAACAGAGTGGCTGTAGGTTTCAAACTGCTGACCCTGTGGTTAACAGCCTATTGAGTAATCTACTATACCACCAGGGCCTGGCTTATGAGTTATGCTGGCAATTACAAATTCAGGAGTTCTAGACTGCCATGTGCTCTGTGGGACAACGATGGGACTTTCTGTTCCTGCTGGGAAACCCCAAAAAGGATAGTTCGACCCTGTCCTGGGGGATCTCTATGAGTCAGAGACTCATATTTTGACAGCAGTGAGATTGGAGCAAAAAAGACCTTAATATAACTGAGCTTTATTAAACAACAAATGTTAAAGTTCATTTATAAGGAGATAAATTATTTCTTTATTCACTGCTTAATTGTTGACTGTCTAGCATGTGCCAGACATTTTTTTAATGGTGGGGACACAGCAGTAAACAAAGTCTTGCACTCATTGAAGTTATATAAAGGAGTTTTCAAAAAAGTTCATAGAAAAATGGGGTTAAATGGTAATGGAATTCTTCCATTAACTTTTTGAAGTCCCCTTGTATTTATATGGGTGAGATGGATAACAAACTAAACAAGCAAAAAAATAGTATATTGTGGAGATGTTGTAGGCTTAAAATTGCAGTTGGGCCTAGTGATCTTTATTTATTATTTTCCACTCCTAATGGTGAAATTCTCCAAAGATTCAGTTAGCATTGTGTTGATCTGAATTTGAATGAGTGAAAGTAAAGACTTTAAGGTAAAAATCTTCCAGAATGAAGATATAACATATATGCTAGATAATAATAATAATGCACAACATGATTTTGTTAAGATTCTAAGGAATGTTTTTTAACTGAAGACTCAATTATACATGATGTTAGCTCTGTTGTACAACCTAAATAAAATCTTCATGTATTCCACATATTTCATTGTACTATGGTTTCAGAAAGTCCCAGCTATTACTGTCTTGAGATTGGTACTACTGTTAGCTTACATCACATTATTAGAATACTGAAAAGTATGATTTTAACTATTATTGCAACAAATTTAAATAGCGATGATCAGAGAAGTATATTATTTATAATGTGGGTTCAACTTATGTTTTGCAGGCAGAAGCAGCAAATAAACCACCTACATGAGAGGATAAGAGATAATGAATTACGTGCACAACATGCCTTGTTAGGACATTATGTAAATCGTGAGGAGTCTTACATGGCTAGTTTGCAGGTAGGATTGCAGATGATTTTGCAATGATTATTTTAATAGTAAAGTATGTTTTAATGAGTGTAAGACTAGAATATTCCTAATTAAGTGTTTGGAGGTAATGTACCAGCCTGGATCATGTTTATATAATAGTTGGAAGTATCCAATCTACTGTCTTCCATCTGTCCAATTCACACTGAACAACTTCTATTGCTAGTTTCTAGTGTGTCCTTTTAGAGCAGTGGCTCTCAACCTTCCTAATGTCGCGACCCTTTAATATAGTGCCTCATGTTGTGGTGACCCCCAACCATCATAAATAGGTGTTTTCTGATGGTCTTAGGAAACCCCTATGAAAGGGTCGTTCGACACCCCCCCCCAAAGGGGTTGTGACCCACAGGTTGAGAACCGCTGATTTAGAGCTTATACATAGCTCAAGCAAATATAAATATACAAGAGGGTTTGAAGTCTTTTCATATTTTGTCCTCCACAAAAAATCTGCATATACTTCATCGTATACCTGTTTTCCTTTTATCGTGTATAAAAGTATATAGTATATATAGAATATTATTTCTATATCATTACCTAAGTAGAATATATTTTTTAAAGATTCTTTTTTATTTGCTTTCATGGCTTCATGGTATTGCATAATATGAAGACTGTCAAAATTTGGCTTGTTTACAGTTTGGACAAAGTACATAATGCTCTAAAGAATAACATTTTATAAATTGTTTAGCTCCCGTGAAAGCATTTTCTTTGAGTAAAATACTAATGAAGATCAAGGATTGTAGCCTTCAATGGATTATGATTCAATGTGAGGAAGATCAAAATCCTCACAACTAGACCAACAGATAACATCGTGATCAATGGAGAAAAAGATTTTGTCAAGGAATTTTCTTTCTTGGGTTCATAATCAGTGCTCATGGAAGTGACAGTCAAGAGATGAAAAGATGTGTTGCATTAGGTAAATCCTGGTGCATAAGACCTTTTTAAAGTGTTGAAAAGCAAGGATGCTACTTTGAGGTCTAAAGTGCGTCTGACCCAAGCCATGGTATTTTCAGTCGCCTCATCTGCATGTGGAAGTTGGTCATTGAATAAGGAAGACTGGAGAAGAATTGAAGCATTTGGATTGTGCTGGCGAAGGGTAGTGAACGTGCCATGGACTGACTGCTGAAAGGACAAATCAGTATGTCCTGGAAGAAGACTTTGTTACATACTTTGGAAGTAGGAGAGAAAAGTCCTTGGAGAAGGACGTGATTCTTGGTAAAGAGGAGGGTCAGTGAAATCGAGGAGGACCCTCAGTGAGGTGAATTGACACAGTGCTTGCAGCAGTCGCCTCAGGCAGAGGAAGCACAGAGTATGGGGGACCAGGCAGGGGTTACTTCTGCTCTGCTAGGGTCTCTATGGTTGGGATTGACGCCATGGCACCAGATAACGGATTAAAAGCACAGAATTATTACCTGAGTTTTCCATTTTTACTCATATTGTTAAGTAAAATGCAGCTTCCTTTTATGTACTAATTGAATTGAAATAATAGGATTTTCCCATGAACTGCCTGAAACCCCTTCTGATTTGACAAGATGACTAAAATTGCAAATTTATCTGACATTTCTGTGAATTTAACCTACAGAAATACTTGCACATGAGGAAAACAATTTATAAAATGTTACTTTTCAGAGCATTATATTTAATTATCTCAGAGAACTTGTTCGAGTATTTCGCTCCTAGTAATCTCTTCTGCTCCCCTCCCCTCCCTTCCCTCCTCCCCCTCCCCACTCCTCTTCCCTCCTCTCCCCTTCCCTCTCCTTCCCTCCCCCCCACCTCCCCTTCAACTCCCAGCCCAGCTAACAGAGTGTGCTGTCAAAATTTTGGAAATTGTATCCTCCCAGCACTTTTACTTGTGTGTGGAGAGTAAAGACTTATCTCCATGTAATATATAATTCTAAAACATAATTCTCTTAGGAGTGGTGCTGAGATGCTCTTTGTAAGTTTGAGATTTATTTGCGTTTTTCATTCTGTGAATTGTATTTTCATACCCATTAATTATTGTTTCTATAATATTTTGATGCTTTTTGTCTTTTAAAATTTTTATTGTATTTTTTAATTTATTGTATTATTTTATGTATTATATTTTAATACCTATTAATTATTGTTTCTCTAATGTTTTGATGTTGTTTATTTATTGTTCACTGATTTTGCTCACCAGTACAAATATCAAACTTACCTAAGAGATGTTGAACATAGAGATTCCAGCCTGCTTTTTATATTTTAGTTACAAATAGATAAAAATACCTTATTAACATTATTCTATCCATAAATTCATATAACATGATAGTAAGGCTCCATAGAACAAAGATTAATAGTGTCGGGCTGTTGAATGTTTTATTTTTATGCTATAGAAATAGTGTAATTTGCTTTGACAAGATTCTTAGCTGAATCATTCATGTGCTCCTTGTAACTTTGTGTCGTTCGGATAAGGTTTTACTTCAATTATGCAGTGATTATTCTATTACCAAAGCATGTAAACCTTCATATGCACCTGAGCGCTCAGGTAAACGATCTTTTATATAAGAACACACCAGTAAGAGGACTCTACAAGTCAGTCTTCAAAGACACAATGAAAGTATCTGGTAGAAGCACACCAGCCTGTGTGATCATGAGGTGTCGATGGGATCAGGTACCGGGCATCAAAGACCCAGAACAAAATAATCATACCCAAGGTGAATTGGGGGTGGGGTAGGAGGGGACATGGAGTGGAGACCCAATGCCCATCTGTAGACAATTGGACATCTCCCTACAGAGAGGTCACAGGGAAGAGATGAGCCAGTCAGGGTGCAGTATAGCGTTGATGAAACACAATTTTCCTCTAGTTCTTTGGTGCTTCCTTCCCCCCACTATCATGACCTTAATTCTACCTTACAAATTGAATTAGACCAGAACATGCACATGGCTACAGATAAGAGCCCACAACACAGGGAATCCAGGTAGCTAGCCCCCCCGCCCCCCCAACAATGAGACTAGAGCTATCAGGAGGAGGATTAGGGGAGGGTGGGGGGAGAGAGGGGGAAGTGATCACAAGGATCAACCTAGAACCCCCTCTCAGGGGGATGAACAATGGAAAAATGGGTGAGGGTCATGATGGACGGTGTAAAATATGAAAACAATAATCTATAACTTAGCAAGGGTTCATGAGGGAGGGTGGACGGGATGGGGAGGGGGAAGAAATGGGGAGCTGATATCAGGGGTTCAAGTGGGAAGAGAATGCTTTGAAAATTATGATGGTAGCATATGTGCAAAAGTATCTGGTAGAACCTGGAAAATGAGACTAAATTGGGGTTCAAGCAGTTCTTACCATAATTCACACATATGTCCATTGTGTCAAGCACATTTGTGCATTTGTTGCCATTGTCATTCTCAAAACATTTTCTTTCCGCTTGAGCCTTTGGTGTCAGCTCATTTTTTCCCCTCCCTCTATCCCCCACCCTTCCTCCCTCCCTCCCTCCCTCCCTCCCTCCCTCAT